ACGAGTAACTTGAAGGGTGCATTTTTTTTTGCAGATTCATAATGAGAAACACGTAAGAACTCGTCAATACCCAGAGCGGTAATGATAATGATTTTTGCTTTTAAACTGTGTTGTATTTTTTCCTTATTCTTTTTGGTCCAAATATATTTATCTTTGTTTTCCACAACACCATTAACTAAAAGAGTGTAAACAAATGAACTGTTTTTTTTATAGAAGTTCAAATATCATAATTCAACCCCCCTCCCCCTCCTCTATAAAATTTTTTCCTCTTCTCTTTCCACAAAGCATACCTCTCTTCATTGAAGGATAAAGGTCTATTTAGTGAATTATTTGAATTCATTCCTACCTCCTGAAATGGTTAGTCTTATAATAGGAGTTAGGCTCAGATACCATTTGTTTTATCCCAAAAACTTCAAACATAAGAGGGGGAGGGGAATGGTAATTGTAATATTTGAATTTTAAAACATGGTTTTATATAAATGCTTTCATTTAAAATATTTAATTCTAGAAGATGGAAGAAAACATAAATGAAGCGGTGGAATAATATAAAAGAGAAGAGGTGGAGAAATAAGCAGCTCAATAAAAAAAATATTAAAAAATGGTTAATAGCTCTTTTGCACTGGCCATTTGGGTCATTTTCAAAAAATTCTCCTGTAAAAAAAGTTTGAATTTCCCCCTTAACCTTTCAAGATTCCTCTCCCCCCCCCCCTCCCCCCATTAAACCCAATCATCTTAAAAGCTGATGTGTCATTAACATGTATTATTTTTTCATTTTTAAACATTTCTACGTGTGTAAAGATGTATGTAAAGTTACCAAAATACCCTCAATTCATCACTAACCTAACACTTGAAATTGAGAAAAGGAAATCAGAAACCCTAAATAGTTTTCCTTCATTCTTCTCGTATTCTTCTTCATTCATCTCGTCTTCTCGTTTATTCATCTCGTCTTCTCTTTCATTCTTCTTCGTTTTCGAAGTCGAACCATCATATCTATTCAATCATCGAGAATGAAAAAATTAGAAATTTCAAAGTCAAGCATGTCTTCAAATGGAATAACTCCTTCATGCTACCATAATATTGCTATGAAGATGTTTGTTTCCAAGTCAATTGCAAACCTAGTGAGAAAAGATTTGAAGTGCAAGTATTAGGGAAAAGAAGAAGACTGTGACATATTCCACTGGGATGATGAAATTTATGGTCAAAGAGCAAGAGAAACAAGTCAACATGAAGGAGAAATGATACACCTATTGAAGAATTTCAGGAAGGAATTTGGGAAAGAGTTTGGGTCTCAACCATGTTCAAAAGAATTGGAGGAGTTGAAGAAAAATCTTGAGAGCTTAAGGAAGAATATGAACATTGTAAGAATAGCTGTAATTTGTTCTTGGGTTTTTTTTCTTAATTTTTTTGGAGCATGTAATAGAATATGATGTAACAAGTTTGATGTGTAGCAGTGTTAAAGTTTAATGTAATGTGTTTTGAATGAATGAAGTTGAAGTGATTCTGGTTTTAAAAATGGTTTATTTTGTTGCAGTAAGTATGGACATAACTTTTGTTGCAATGACGCGGTTTATTTTGTTGCAGTAAGTTTGTGACATACTTTGGACATAACTTTGGATGACAGTAAACATACCAAATTGATGACAGTAAACATACTAAATTGATGACAAAAAACACACATCCATGATATCATAACATAACATAAATTCTATTACATGTTGAGCTAAATTGATCATATTTTATGCACTACAAAAGATTACAAAATGAGCACATATTGTGCATATCAAAAGGTTCCAAAATTAGCACATAATATGCATAAAAAAGACGTTCTTAAGCATTACACGCTATATCATAATAATCACTACTGAGTCAGTTGCCTTGAAATTTCATCCCATGTCTTCATTTTCTTCACACAAGTACCAATTTTGGGGTCTTCATTTTCTTTATCAATTTGCAATGGAGCACCAGAAGTAGATCCAGGCCCAACATTGTTTTCGACCTCTAAACACTTTTTAACTTCTCACTACTCCTTTTAGGTTCTTGAATTGGTTTTTTCTTGTTGGCCTATTTCTTCAACTCAACTTATTCTTTCTTCTTATGAGCTCGTTTCTTCTTCTTGGTTGGTTTATTCTTCACCTTTTTTTAGTGTTAGGGTTGGGAATAACTTGTTCAGCAATAGGTGTAGGACTACACACTTGAGAATGTGGATCTTGGGATGGATGATCTTCAAATTATGCCATCATCTCCTCAATTGTTGCATCTAAATCTGAATCACCATTAGCAGTTGATGACAACCCTTCAGCAGCAGTTAATGAGACCTTGGTCTTTGGTGTTTTCCTATGAAGTGCACACAATCAACAAAAATAGTAAACAGTCAACCACAATACTAAACAATCAACAACGGTTGATCAGGAAAATAGCAAGTGTACTATTTCTCCCGTTGTAGTTAAAATAGGGGATTTCTCCCCAGTATTGATCTCAGGGACTGCGTAAGAAACACAAACTTTTTATAACTCTATTGAACAAAAAGACTTTGAGGAGTTTTTATGAGGGTTGTTACAAAGAGTAACAAGTTCATTGCAAGAAAAATAGAGCAAATAAAATAGTAAACGAAAACAGATATGAGTAGATTGCTAGGGTTCGGTAAATGATTCTTCCTATAACAAATTCAATTCATCAACACAATGACCTAATTCACAATATTCAATTACCGGTTCTCTAGGGTATCCAAAACTTATGAAAAGAAAATAGTCATTGCATTACTAAAAAGCATTCATTACATTCAGAATCAGGGTCACCCCCTAGCAATGGGGGGGTTTAGCTGCTCATAACAATAAAGGAAAACGAAAGAAAAAAAGTTGTCATTACAGAAAATTAAAGGGAATCAATCTTCAATTGTGAGAACTCTTGAAAATATGACTCGGTGGCGAAAATCTGAGTTCTCCAACCTCCAAAACGCATTTTTTTCTCTCTCCAAATGTTCACCCCTGGTGAAATCGCGTTCCGGGATTAAATAGTCAGCTTATGAGCTTTGGCAATTTTTGGGCCTCATTGCGCGTAATGACCAAGGTGTTATGCGTAATGCCCACAAGAACACCCCAAGTATCATACACGTAACCACTTTTCAGGCCATCTGCGCAAACTGATATGCGTAATGACTTGCATGTTACGCGTATCAGCGGAGGGTGGATTTTTCCCTTTCTTTGTTGATTCACGTACCATACCCGTACAGGTTAGGTCCATATGCGTAACAGCTAAGACATTACGCGTATGGACAACAGAGTCTTCAATTTTTAATTTTCCTTCTGCTTTCTCACTCCGACTCGATCTTACATCTTGCATTTGATCATCTGAGCTTCCAAACCTGTATTTGACCTGAAAATACCCAAAAGCGTAAAATATCCTTGAGAAACTCAAAATCTACGACATGCTACGACAAATCCTAATTACGACTAAAACACATGTAACTTCATACAGTTTACCTGACTTATTGATGATTACCAGATGATTCCATGATGATTATATACCATAAATGGTGATTGATCACAACCCCAAACTTAACTCGTTGCTTGTCCTCAAGTAACGTTTTGAATTTAACCGATCACGTCACCCCAAACTTACTGTAAAAATAGGACTTACCACAATACCTCTGAAATCTTTCGCACTGGGCCCCTTGGTATATTACCTTGGATTTTTTTTATACTCTTCATAACCAGCAAGCCAAAAACACTTTTACTTAGAAACACTGCTTTAGCTGTCAGATTATTTCTCACTCTCACCAATTCTCTCGGGTTAAAGTGTTTAACGCTCAAGTGAGAGTAAACAATATTATATCAGCGATTTGAATAAATTCTCTTCTCTTATCAATCTGCATAGAACACACACTTTTTGAGGTCTTTAGGATTGTAACGAGGCTTGGGTTATAGGTGGATATAAAAAGGAACAAGGGTTATGATTCAGATTCAGTGAGATCATCCTTTGCGCTATGTTGTTTTTACGATAGTTTTTGTGTGTGGGTGCTCTGATTATGTCCGACGGGTAAAGCATTAAGAATAGATATAAGAATAACTCAAAACTTATGAAAAGAAAATAGTAATTGCATTACTAAAAAATTAACAGTCATCAACAAGTACATCTCTTTTAAATACATTAGGATCCTATCCAGTGCTCTTGCACTTCCTTCAATTATGGCCAAATTTGTCACATTTCGTGCATCTATAAGCTACACCAGGCCTCCTCATTCTTGACTCTGTCTCATCATGCTCTCTAAACCTCAATTTCTTCGGCCTGCCTGGACCTTTCTTATATTGTGGTGGTAACATATCTTCAACATCAACTTCTGGCAACATGTTCATACCATTGATTGGACTTACATTGTTCTCATAAAATAGTTTATAAGCTTCCCTCGCATAACATGTATAAACATATTCTTCTAGGTTCAAATTATGATATTGCATTGCAAACACAACATGCCTATAAGGTATCTCTACTAGGTCCCAAAAGCAATATGAATAACGTTTTTTTCAAAGATTTACAAACTGAAGTCCATTATATGGATTATGAACTTACCAAATGTTACACATACTCCCTGTTGGCAACCACTGACCACTCAACAAAATTTCTTTATCAAGTTTTTTCCTAGGAATGGGCATGATGTTATGTTTCCAATTTACAAGCTTAACTAAACTACTAGCAATATTATTCATTAGATAGTTCCTAATCCACTCACACATTGTGAGTATTGGTTTATCCATAGCTTGTAATATGGTACTATTAAATGACTCACTCAAGTTATTCATCAAGATATCACATTTTGGGTAAAAGCTAAAAGAATGCTTACACCATAACATGGTAGGTACTCTTATCAACCATTCCTATTTCATTTGTTGATCTGAGATAAAAACATACTTTCTGTATGCACCAATATCTTCAATAAGTAACTATAAAAACCATTTCCAATTATCCCTTATTTTAGTCTCCACTACACCAAAAGCCAAATGATATTAATAGTGACAAGTTCTTTCTTCTTCACTATCATCAAACCTTATGCCTCTAACATCATCATTACATTCACTGAATTGATTAACATTAGGCCTCAACACTTTGCTTAGCATTTCTTCAATGCCATTCTCTACAGCTTGAAGATCATCAATGAAATGAACAAACCCTTCATCAAATCCTAGTATCTTTCTCCACAGTTTAAATCCATTATGTCCCCACTCTTTAACTAAGCTAACAGCCTCGAAAAAACTCCACTTGTCAGGATCTTGCCCTTTTACAATAGTTTCACTCCCTTCCTTGTAAAATGTGTGCTTCTCGTGAATAAAGTTCCCCCCATGATGAAATATCACACTGATTAAGCCCATGTTTGCAATTACATTAACGTGCATAGTTTAATAAAACTAGTCATAGTTTACCCTCAAAGTAAAAACATAACTAACTTTGCAAATGAAACTAACCAAAGTTTATCCACAAATTTTACCCACAATGTTCACCCACAAACTAATACATTATGTTTAGGACCACTGAAAAACACACAAAGTTTAAGAATCGTACTTTTTATACCACCAATGCAGCAATAGAATATGAAAGTGTAGTCAACAAACGACAATGAGATGTCCTAAAAACTTCTCTTTTTTTAAACGAAGAAGCAACAAAGACTCAGAGTGAAGAATGTGAAAGGTCTCGTGTTTTTATGATGGGCCAAATGAAGAAGAAATAAAGATTTTGATTTTTAGGGTTTCACTTGTTTAAGATTCCTTTTGAAGTGTTAGAGATGAATTTGGGGTATTTTGGTAACTTTGCATACATCTTTACACACATGGAAATGTTTAAAAATGAAAAAACCATACATGTCAATGACACATCACCTTTTAAGCTGACTGGATTTAATAAGGGGGGAAAAAGAGGAATATTGAATGGTTAAGGGGAGACTATAAACTTTTTTTTACAGAGAAATTTTTCGAAAAAAGCCTAAATGGCAGGGGTAAAAGAGCTATTAACCCAAAAAAAATGGATAGAAAGATGACATTAGAAATTTATTCTGGTTCAGCCTAAACCACTTGACCTACTTCACTCCCCAAAAGTTTTCCCATGAGATTTTCACTAAAATAATCTTGAGTTTTTTCATAGGTTTAGCCCAAACATCCTTACAAAACAATTTGAGATTTTGACACGATAAATCCAAAAACCTTTCATAAATAACCTAGAACTTTTACACTGACTCAACTCAATAACTTTTCACAAATAATTAGAGCTTTTATATAGGCTTTAGATTAATAGCCTTAACCTAAATTTTTTACAGGTTTAACTTGCAACATTTAAATTTATTACAAAAAGATCACAAGATAACTACTCCCTTGAATAAATAATTACAACACAGTACAACACAACTCTTAGATGAAACTTTTCATTCTCTTGACACATAAAAATGTTTTCTCTCAACACTAGTACAACACTTAAAACGTTAAGCGTAAGATCATACGAGCTTTCATACTTTCACATCTTCAAGTTCACAACTTCAATATCATTTCTTTACACCTTAAAATTCTTTTGCTTGATTCAACATTGTCTAATACTTTCAATTAGAACTTCATACATTTGACTGATGATTGATTATTTTTTGTTCAGATGTCATTATAAATAACTATCGAAAATATTGTCATCATCAAAGCCATTTGACGACATAACATGCATATCATATAGACCACAATAATGAATAAAATAATGACACATGTTATGAGAATAAGGCTTTAGACATCTAAAAACCATAGAATCTATATATAAAGAGAGTAAAGTGTCATGATTAAGGTCTTAATTCGCAAAAATCTAAAAAAAAAATCTTATTTGTCCTATTCAGCCATTAACATAAACGTTAGAGTGGTTTTAGATGGCACCCCTCTCTTTTTTAATACACCCCTCAAGATTCTTTAGGTTCAAATCAGATCAGCATTCAATGTAAGTGAACCATTTTACACTTTAATTAATAGTGTTATGAAACTAATTACATCTTATAATTATTAAGATGATATCAAAGTCTTTCGATCTAATCCTGCTATGATTTAATCGTGTTTCCACCGCCATGCCTCCTCAAGTATCTTGGTATTCTCAAGTACAATCTTTGTCAAAACTACTATGGATTATTTAATAATATGTAAGAATTTAATAGTAACAAAATTATTATCAAACTCTAACAGTAACATTCTTACATATGAGAAAACAATTAGAGAGCGGTGTTATTTATTGCAACTTTGTAAGTATAACATTTCAAAGTTTCAAGGTTTATGATGATTCATTACTTTTCTAGAACAGGTTCAAAATATGATATCATAATCATAAACCAGATTCAAGACTAAATTAAACTTCAATCAAGATTTGAGAATGTAGTAGTAGAAACTTTGCAATGCACACACTCTTGGTAGAATTGTTCCGAACAACATCATCGGTGCAACAGTTTCAAGCGGAACTTCCTGAATTTACAGTATCAGGATTTGTGAACAAAGATTTTTTATTCTTAGCAATTGTTTTAACATAAAGAAAGTTAAGATTATTGCCTCTCAATCGAAGTTGTCAATTTTGACGGGAACAATGTTATCAGCAACATTGAAGCCTCCAATCAATCGCGCGAAGAAAACCATTTGTTGTTCAAGTGTATACTTAATGTTCTCAGCCTACATCAAACCCATCAGTTTAGTAATATAGTCATTATTTCCTTCATTTCCGATAAGAATTAAATTAGCATATATGTATGTACCTTTCGGAAACCATGTTGTTCTCCTTCATACTCAACAAGAGCAACTGGCACACCTTTTTTCTTCAAAGCCTCGTAAATTAAGCGAGCTTGACTTGGCGGCACAACCTGCAATGTGTAGACCGATTAGTTTAACTAGATTTGGTCCCTAAATTGAAGGTTTAGTTGCATTGTTACTAACCTTGTCTTCCAATCCTTGAAATAAAATAATCGGACAAGAAAACTTATCAACGTGATTGATCGGGGATCTATCGAACCACACCTTCTCATCAGCTCCTGCAATCGGTTAAAAGATAAAGCAACGTGATGCAGTAAGTCCAAATGAAACAAATAAATAAGAGTTGTCTTGAGCTATCATCGTTGACTTACCAACTAGATTATTGATGTAGTGAGATTCAAATTTATGAGTTTCTTCTACCAATGACTTCAAGTCGGCTACCTGTTTGAGAGACCGATTGCCAAATTAATTACATTGTAAGGACAACAATTTAATCTGAATTCTTGATTGAAGAGTCAGAAGATGAACTTACACCGTACAAAGATGCACCGGCCTTAAAAGTATCTTTAAAAGCAAGTGCGGCTAAGGTAGTATATCCACCAGCAGAGCCCCCTGTTATACACAGCCTCTCCCTGTCAACTTTTCCGTTGTCCGCCTAGGTAATAGAGTAGTTAAAGTAGTAAGTTAGTTGAGGACTCGAGGATGTTATAAGGCTATTTGTATATCTTCCGGTTGACCTCAAATCCGCGCCCCTGCGGCTACGAGATATTGTCCGCTTTGGGTGTCAGAACCCTCACAGCATTGTCCTTTAAAAAAGGCACCTCATCGGAAGTACAAATCCACCACAGCAAGATACAACTTCGCTACTTCACCTTTCATTTCATTTCTAGTTCCTAACCCAACAGTATGAAAAAAATAATTACCAAATATGTAGCACAGCTACAACAGTCGTTGACATCCACTATTCCCCAGCGTCCTAAAAGCCGGTCCCTGTACTCTCTTCCATAACCTTCAAAATAATAATTTAGTATATAATTCAGAATATTACTTTGTAGGCAAGGCATGGCAAGAAACAAACCACCTCGGGAAAAAAAAGGTGAGAAACAAACCAGTGCTGCCACCGTAATTAACATCGGCGACTGCCCAACCCCGACTAGTCCAGTACTGGATGCTCAAATTTAAAACTCCGTGCGCTTCAGCCGTTGGTCCTCCTGAAATATTCAAATAAAACATGACCATCATCTTGCCGCTTATAAGGCTCATAATATTCAGAGTTATTGGTACACAGTTTTCTTAAACCAACGGATTAGCATGCGATAATTCCAACAAAACCAAGATTTACCATGGCTCTTCAACAATAGTGGAGGCTTTTCTCCTTCAATGGCTCGGTATGTAGGATTCGATGGTGGATAAAAGTATGCATAAGCATTTTGACCAGGAACTTCAGTTGGGAATTCAATCAACTCAGGCTCACTGATGTACGAACTATATTTTAAACTATCCGGTGAAGAGGACCAAATAATATTGAAGTCGGCTACTTTTGATTTATTCTCGTCGAAAGTCACCTGAAAAGGCAAGAAAGCTATCAGTGGCTGAATTGATTTATTTGAGTTTATCTACCGGCAAACACTCGTGAAACTGTTTGAAAGAGCTTACGAAATGGTTTCCTTAACTCTCCAGGATAGCATATTAAAATAGCTTATATAATAAGTGCTTAGTTAAGTAGTTTATCCAAACAAAGGCTCAAGTAACTTTAACAGTAGAATGGTGGGCAAAAGAAGTCGTCACCTTGGCCACTGATGATGGATGAACTGCAGATGCTCCTTCGACGAATAGGCAATCAGTACCAGAAGTCTGCAACAGCGTGATTGCAAAGTTAAGATTATCGTTGTGTGAAGATTTAATTTAGAATCCAAAAAGGTGGGGAAACAGTTATTAAAATTACAATGTTATCGATATCTGTGAAAGGGATATCGAGCACAGTTAGTTTTGAGCCTGGAACATCATCAATAAGACCGAGATACGATTTCCCTTTCTGCCTGCATACACAACCAAATCATTGAATTGATTATACCAGATTGCGTAAGAGAAAAGATGAAAAGTGATAGATAAGCACCAGACTTAGAATCAATCACCTGTAACTGCAAGCAATTAACTTATTCTGTTTAGGACTTTGCACAAACTCATAAGAATTCATACCGAAAATCCATAGTGGCCTTGAAAACTCGGCATCTAAAGAATAAATAGGCACGACCTTATTTTCGGACTCAATCTGTAACAAATTGAAAAAGTTAGAAAAGAAAAATATCATGTAAATAATTAATAAATTTTACAACCATATTGCAAATGCATAATTTCCATATGAATGTAAAACTACACGGTATTAATGAACATTTATCAATACAGGAGAACAAAAGTTGATAATATATATTCATGGTACGCGGGAATGATCTGCGAAAGAAAATTACCCATTTATGGAGATTCCAGAAGCCACTTTCCCTATCTGTGATGAAAAAAAGCTCCCCTGCATAGTTTAATTAAAAAATGTGTATAAACAATAATGCATAAAATGATCATAACATCATCATCTAGTTGATACTTCTCATACCCTACCGATCAATGCTAATGCACCTATTAGATTTTTCAATTTTCATAACTAATGAACGGATGAATTGCTCTAAAAGCACGACAGTAACAACTAGAAAGTCAAAATAAAATTTTACGCCATAGAACATTAAAACATCGTAAATCAACCAAGAGCAAAGATCCTTAGCCCATTGTTGAAGGCATCATAGTGTCATGACTTCTTGATTATCTACGGAAAACATGCCAACAAAACTACATGCTTGATAGCTACCGTTAATATATCAAACTGTTTTTGGTGTTAGGAAAAAAGGTTAAATTAAGTACCATCTGAAGACCACTTGGGCTCAATCGGAGACTCTACAACGGAAGGATCATACCCAGCTACACAGACACTCTTGTAGATCTCTCTGCATCGAAACAAGAGACGATTAAGCTTCAAGTTGAAACATGACATTTACATATAATAAGAAAACAACAACCACCAAGCCTTATTCCACTAAGTGGGGTCGACTACATGGATCAGCTTTCGTCATAATGTTCTATCTAGGACCATGTTTCTATTCAAATCGTTAATCTTAAAATCTTACTTAATAACTTCTCTTATAATTTTTCTAGGTCTTCCTCTACCTCTAGTTGTTTGACTTCTCTCCATCTGATCTACTCTCCTTACATAGACTATTATATGAAACTTAAAGGCTCAATAGGGATGTTAACATCTACAAGGTAAGCAAATTTTCTTAACTCTTACAGAAGTCACAACTAAGGCAAAGAGTTCAGCTCACCCTTTTTCGGAAATATAACCAACCCAAAGTTCTGATTTATCCCATGGCATGTTGGGGTGATTCCATTGTATCCATGCTATTCTCTCACTTTTAGGATCTAGACGTGGGAAAGCATAGAAATCACTACCACCAACTAGTACTTCTGGTTCTGAAAGTTGCACAATACAGTTAGACTTAATATTGATTGCAATACCTTATAATGAAAACAAGCATTAAGATTAAGACAGTGAAAATATAACAACTTATGAAAACTTATAACAAACAACAAATAAATACACACGCATAGTATTCATTAAGTCCCTCAAGATTAAACTCATTAGTAAGATGGAAACTATTACCCTGAACATCCTTGTTGCCAAGTGATATAGATACAATAGTCGTAGGTGGGTTTTGATTGCTTTCCCTACGATCTAGCAACATGATTGTACATTAGTGACCAAATAATTGAATGAGTTAAGAAGTAAACTCACAATGGGAGCATTCTAACATACGCCTCAAAGAAATGCTTACCTTCCCTTACAGCAATAAAACGGTTAAAGTGTGTATCCAATACTCCATCTGCATAGCTTACAGTTGGTCCACCATAATCCGGAGTGAGAGGTATAGGAGACACATCTGATATGATCAAACACACGCACAAAACAGCACAAGTTAGCAAAATTCTTGCTTCACACACATTATTGAAAATCACACAATACCAAATCAATATTATCATGTTGATATAAATCAATATGCAAGTAAACTACAGTTGACTATAAAGAAAACTTAACTTGATGGCAGAATGAAACTACCGTGCATTTTTGGAAAGACAGTGAGTTTGATAAAATCATGGTGGTAGCTTTGCTAAAATCATTTGTGTGCCAATGCCATCATGATTCAGCTTAACTCGCCGTGAATCCAAACATGCACATACCAAATGTGCGCAAAAATAAGGGTATTGGGGAGTGAAAACAGATGCTCGCTCACCAAGAGAAGAGATGGATTGTTTGTATAATCTCTGATCCTTGTAATTTGCAAAAAAGACAACATCTCCTGAAACAGTGAAAGCACCACCACCATATTCCTGAGCCAATGTTCTCACTCCAAATTCCTTTGGAGTAATATCTACAGCCTCGCCTCCTGGATTTTGTGGCTCAAGAACAAGAACTGCCCGTCTGAAACAAAAACAAAATTGTGAATCAAGACGCTATGGTATGTATTGACTTATTTGAGTTTATCTAGTGGCATAAGCACTTCTTCCAAAGCACTGATGAATACAACTTAGTACATGTTCATAAATTGTTTTCTGCTTAATTTAACCTTCAAGAATAGCTTATATCAAAACATCAAAACAGTTTGACTTTTTTACATTAATAACTTATCGGGTGTTTGTTTTTGCTGTGAAAAGAATCAATTTTGAATGAATTGATTTTAGCTAAAAGTGAATTGAAGATAAATTGATTTATGTTTGGTAGATTTCAATGTAAAAATCAAGTTTAAACTCAAAAGCTACAAATTCTAGATTCAAAATCAATTCAGAAGACGGAATCAATTCTACTTAAAAAAAACAAACATCTCAAAATTAATTCTACACCTCTAAGAATTGTTTTTGTCTCTTCCAAAAGCTAAACCAAACACACAGTCAAACATAAGTATGATAAGTGCTTATAGCATAAGTGCTTAATTAAGTTGTTAATCCAGTCAAAGCCTAAAAAATACCAAAAGGGTCATCTTAGAAACTCCATAAGATTACATTTTTCAGCCTTTTCCACTTCCATCTTATCCAAAAGTGCTTATTTTTAATCTAACAACACAAAGGGTCAAGGAAACATACCCTGATTCAGTCGGACGTGATTCAAGCCAAATGAGACGACCATTACCATCCACCGCGGTTCCACCAAGCCTCTTGGAAGCGCCGGAGACGACATCAGCAGTGATGGGTGATGTCCAAGAGCCATAAGGGGCAGTGGTTGTATCAGAAGACATAGCCTTAGCGGAGGTACTGAAGTAGTGTAAACGGCGTCGTTGATGCGATGTTTTGGAAGAGAGAAAAAGGATAGGTGTGTTGAAATGGTTGAATCTGTGAGTGTGAGTGAATAAGCACTTGGAATATTGATAAGAGGAAGAGGGGAAACGAGTGAGAGTGAGAACAGCAATGGTAGCTAACGTGGACATTCTACCATTTTTTATTTGATTGTGTTGATTTGTGTGTCGTAGTCATGCTATGTTTCGTTTCTTTGCATATGTTAGGCAATTCTAAAAGCTTAGGGTCTCCTAATAAGAACCACATCCGTTTGGTCGGGGATTTTAGAGAGGAGGGGAGGGGAGAGAATATTTTAAAATATATGTGTTTGGTTTAATTTTTTATAAGAACAGGAGAATGGATTGGAGGAAATTAGAACGTCTCCCCTCCTCATGTGAACCAAACATATATTTGATTAAAACTTTTCTCTCCCTCGCTTATAAATCAAACATACGTTGAATTAAAATACATCATCTCACCTCTCGTCCCCTGCTTATGAATCAAACATACATTGAATTAAAATACATTCTCTCACCTCCCATCCCTTTTATTAAAATCCCTCCCCTCCCCTCTGTTGAACCAAACGGACCCTAAGAAAATATTATTAGCGTTTCAATCCTATTTGTAGTAGAGATTGTTGTGTTTGAAGATGTATTTATGAAATAGGTTATATATTTTTCGGATATGTATCTTCGGATGATAATGTCAATGAAAAGTTTGAATATTAAATTTATTTTTCTGTTATACTTGGTTATAGATATGGTACACTCGGATACTTTCTAAAGTTATTGTATATGTGAATGTTAAATCGGATGAAGTGGTGGATGATGTTGAAGTGGGTGATGTTAAATTGGTTGATGTCGAGGTGAATGTTAAACCGGTTGTTGCTGAGATAGATGTTTATGAACAATTTACAACTAAATAGGAGTTTGTAGAGCGTGAATATATGCTTCAATAGAATCGCAAGCAGACTGCCAGACTTGGATTCAGTGTTGTAATTGGGAGGTCTGATAATAGTTCTAATAAAAGACTAACATTTGTAATGATTAGATGCAAACGAAGACATATCAACAGCTTATTCAGAAGTTGAAACAGAATGATAAGGGAACGAGAAAGTGTGATTATCCTTTTAAAGTTCGTGGATACCGTAAGGCAAATAGTACTTGGAAATTTAAGGCCCGTTTGTTTTATCTTTTTTTTAATTGTTTTTATAGTGTTACATAATTGTGTTAAAAATATTACAAATATAACTTTTATAAAAGTCTTAAATAAAAATTTTGTTTGAATAGTTTTTCTTAAAATGTTATTTTAGATATTTCATCATTTTATTGAAATGTATTTTAATATAAAAATTTAAATAAAAAATTACTTAATTTTGAAGCTATTTCAAATAACTTGTTATAATAATCATTTTTGAGATACAACTTTTTAAAAAAATTGCGGTTTCGATTTTGTTTTGTTCTTCAATAATATATGTTTATGTTATAGGATGTCAAAAATAGTCTTCAATTTAGAAAATGTAGATGCTTTTGATTGGCTGCATTCTGTGGCAAAATATTAGAGTGTATATGAATGTCATGACTGGTGTTATGACATACACTAAGAGTATTCTGCAGGGTAAGTGAAGTTGGATGTCATGACTGGATGCTGTAACATTGATCGTATGACATCAGGCGCGCAGTTTTAGTTTTCTGGTATTTAGAATGAGGGAACTCATGCTAGAATACAAGAAATATTTTAGAAGCTCAAACTGGAAGTCAGGAAACATTTTAGAAGCCCTGGCGAAATAAAATATCCTTGACCTAACTGGTAAGGATGCAGATTCGTGAAGAGAGGTTTGGGTAAACCTAAATTCTGCACAAAGGCCCAAAGGATATCTGCTGTTATAAATAACAAGAGGATGAACCTTAATAAAGGGGAGAGCTAGCAGAGAGATTATAGTGTGTATCTTGTGAGTGAAGAGGTTTTCTCTTCACGTGTGTATAGGAGTCTTAGGATTCCTTGTGTACTAAGCAATTATATGTTGTATAATAGCTTTGGTTATTGTGTATGAACAGGTGTGTTCATTGTGTCACTCAAAGCTGTTAAGCAAGAGTGTGTGTCACTTGATCAAAGCTGTGAAGCATGATCAAGGTGTGTTTGAAGTGAGTCTTCATATCTCTTTTGTAATTGTGTATTGATATCACTGAGGTGATTAAGGGGGAGTGAGTGGGAAACTCAGGTCTAGTGGTCTCTAGGCTGAAGTGTCATTGGGTAGGTCTTAAGTGAAGAGTGCAAACTGAGATTGTTTGACTCTGAATTAATTCTACTAATAATGAATTTCCTCCTTGGCTTGGTAGCCCCCAGATGTAAGTGTGGTTGATACTGAACTGGGTGAACAATAACTTGTGTTATTTACTGCTTTCCATTTACAACTTATTATTAAGTGCAGTAGTCTGTGTTACATTGGATGTCATAACATCCGTGATAACATCCATTGTATGCTTGCCAGAATTACAATTGGCATCAAAGCAGGCACCCTGCCTGTTATTTTCTGGGTGAGATCTAGGGAAGATAAATTCTGGTACTATGGATAAAGACATAGGATTCACAAATAGACCACCAATTATGGATGTCTCTAATTATGACTATTGGAAACCTAGGATGATTGCCTTCTTAAAGTATTTAGACAGCAAGGCATGGAGAGCTACAAACTCTGGCTGGGAACATCCATTGAAGACTGATAAAGATGGATTGTTTGTGCTTATACCTGAAGAATAATGGACCAAAGAGCAAGAATCCTTGGCTCTTGGGAATTCTAAAGCTTTGAATGCATTATTCAATGGTATAAACAAGAACATTTTCAGACTGGTGCATCATTGTGAGCTGGCTAAAGAGGTTTGGGATACTCTCAAAACAACTTATGAGGGAACCTCTAAAGTCAAGATGTCAAGACTTCAAATGCTGACCACCAAGTTTGAAAGTCTGAGGATGAAGGAGGATGAGACTATTCATGAATTCTACATGAATATTCTTGAAATTGCAAACACCTCAGGAGCTTTGGGAGAAAGAATGTCTGAAGAAAAGCTTGTGAGGAAAATTCTCAGGTCTTTACCTAAAAGGTTTGCCATGAAAGTTACTGCCATTGAAGAAGCTCAAGACATATGCAATATGAAGGTGGATGAACTCATTGGGTCTCTCCAAACTTTTGAAATGGGAATATGTGATCAGGATGTGGAGAAAAAGAACAAAAGCATAGCTCTTGTATCAAATACTGCAGAGGTCTCAGATGAAGACAATGATGGAATCAAGGAGAATCTCTCAGAAGTTATAGCTATGCTTGGGAGATAATTCAACATACTCATGAAAAGGGTAGATAAGAAGGGTAGAGCTAGTGACAAGTTCATCCCATCTGACATTAGCAGAAGAGCTAAGCCTGCAGAAAAGCTCAATCAAGGCAAAGGAGGTCAATGCCTTGAATGTGAGGGATATGGACATATTAGAACCGAATGCCCCACCTATCTAAAGAAATAGAAGAGAGGCCTAAATGTAACCTGGTCTGATGGAGACTCTGAAAGTGGATCAGAAAAGGAGTCTTTCAGGCATGTCACTGTTCTAAATAGTGTATGCACATATGATGATAACTCAAGTGAGGATGAGAAAACTTTTAATGAGCTTGCAGCTTCATACAAACAGCTGTGTTTCAGAAGTGCAGAGGTATGCCAACAAGGAGAAAATAAAAAAAGGGATCATTAAGAAGTTGGAGGTTGAGAAGAAGGAACATCTTGCAACAATAGACTCACTCAACAGTGAGGTCAGCCTGTTGAATTGTAAACTTGAGCAGATGTCAAAATCAATCAGGATGCTAAACCCTGAGACTGACACTCTTGAAAAAATTCTACAAAATGGTCAGATAGCAAGAGACATGTTTAGACTGGGGTTTGTTGGTGAACAGAAACCCATCTTGGGGTTCAAGAGGCCAGAGTCTGAAAACCAGAGGTCAAACCAGATGTCACGACCAATGTCACAACATCAGAGGAACAAGAACATGAAGCAAACAAGAAGAAAGTTCCAAAGGTGGAGGTGTCATTACTGTGGAAAATTTGGTCACCTAAAACCTTTTTGCTTCAAACTGCATGTATATCCTAGCCACACTCATCAAAGTGCTCCTGCCAAGAAGCAACATTGGGTGGCAAAGGAGGTTGGTTTGATAGCTCACACCTCTCTAAGAGTGTCAGATAAAGAATACTGGTATTTTAATAGTGATTGTTCTAAGCACATGACTGGAATAAAGAATCTGTTGGTGGACATCAAACCTCATTCCACTAGTTATGTGACTTTTGGTGATGGAGAAAAAGGAGATATCAAAGGTGTTGGGAAACTAGACTGCCCTGGAGTACCTAACCTGGACAATGTATTGCTAGTGAAAGGACTGACTTCCAACTTGATCAGCATTAGTCAGCTCTGTGATCAAGGACTAAGTATGAAATTCACTAAAGAAGAATGTGTGGTCACAAATGGTGATAATGAAGAAGTAATGAAGGGGTCTAGATCTAAAGACACCTGTTACTTATGGGAGTTTAAGGACTCTAGTAGATCCACAACATGCTCTATGGCCAGAGGAGAAAATGAGGTAAAGTTGTGGCATCAAAAACTTGGGCACCTTCATCTAAGAGGAATGAAGAAGATCATATCCAAGGAGGCTGTGAGAGGAATTCCAAAAATAACTATTGATGAAGGAAAGGTATGTGGAGAATGTCAAGTAGGCAAGCAAACCAAGACATCTCATCCAAGGGTTGGACACCTAACTACCTACAGAGTTCTGGAACTATTGCACATGGACTTGATGGGACCAATGCAAGTAGAAAGTCTTGGTGGTGAAAGGCATGCCTATGTAGTTGTTGATGACTACTCCAGATACTCCTAGATAAGTTTCATCAGAGAAAAATCAGATGTATTTGAAGTATTTAAAGAGTTGTGTATCAAACTTCAAAGAGAAAAGGAATATGGTATGGTCAGGATCAGAAGTGATCATGGTAAGGAGTTTGAAAACTTTAAATTTGTTGATTTCTGCTCATCTGAATGGATCAGTCATGAGTTCTCCTCCCCTATTACTCCTCAGCAAAATGGAGTAGTGGAAAGGAAAAACAAGACTATCCAAGAATCTGCTAGG